TTTGATTAATAAAAATAAAGTCAAGCAAACATAAAATACAGATAGCATTTTAGAAATAATGTTGATAACTTAGCCCAGAATGGCTAGCTGATTCTCAAGCTAGGTCTTCTTTTAAAAATCTTTATTGAATTTATTGGGGTGACATTAGTTAATAAAATTATACAAGTTTCACATGTACATTTCCATAATACATCATGTGTATATGATAGTGTGTGTTCACCACTCCAAGTCAAGTCTCCTTTCATCATCATTTTTTTATAAGTAGTATCCTCTGAGTCAGGGGTATCACAGGGAAAGAAAATTAAATTTAAGGGGTAAGGGCATGGTGTAGGCAAGTTCTTTAAACAGGGCCAACTGTTAGACATTGTTGGAATGAGGACAGAAGCAAGGTGAGGAGGCTTCCGGTAAAATAATGCTTATCTTCAGACTCACCTGGTTTCTAGGCAAGACCTTTCAAGAGAAGAGGCACACTTGTTTGATTTAGTGTTTGCAGCCCAGCTCGGTGTTTACCATTCAGTGTGGGCAAACAAGGCTGGTGGATAAAGGATGGCATCGTAGGTGACGTGGACAGCCAGGTCACTGCAAAAGCCTGGGATACGGAGCCAGGCGGGCCTGGGTTTGAATTCTAGCTCTGCTGCCTCCCTTCCTGGGAGACCTGACACGTTACTTTACCTACTGAGACTCTGTCTTCTGTTGAAAAGTGGGGATACTTCCTGTTGAGATTTCAAGGAGCCAATACAAACCCGTCTTTCACTTCAGAGTTCTGAACGAGACTGTGAGAACGATGGCAATTTGAATTATTAGCTTAACACGGGGGGACCTGGAGAGTATTATGCTAAGTGAAATAAGCCAACCAGAGAAAGACAAAGTATTACATTATCTCATTCATATATGGAATCTAATGAACAAAATAAACTGATGAACAAAAGATCCAGAGACATAGAAGCATTGAACAGACTATGGAACCTCAGAGGGAAGGCGGGGGAGGGTGGAAGGGTGGGAAGAGATAAAAAAAGAACTTGTATGCATATATCTGTAACCCATGGACACAGACAATAGGGAGGTAAAAGCCTGGAGTGGGCGGTGGGGGCAGGCTAGAAGAGGTCAATGGGGGGGAAAAGGGGGTCATATGTAAGACTTTCAACAGTAAAGATTTAATTTTTTTTTAAAAAAGAATTATTAGCTTAATTACTGTAAAGGCAGCTGGAGTTATGGTTTAAATCTGAGGACAAATGGTTTTACTAATCGCCCTGTCCTAAGTCAGTGGAAATGTCAGGAGTGGGAATGCAGCCTCCCTCAAATTTTTAGGAAACACACCTGGGGCGAGAATGAGTCCCGAGCATTAATGACTGCCCACACCTTTCCTGGGCTCCATTTGGTGCCTGTAGTTTAATCTGCTGGATCCGATTAGGCTGTGGCGGGTTTCCTTCCTTAAGCACTAGGGAGAAGACGTCCAGAGAGCAATGGCGACTTTTAAAAGAGGCCGTCACATATCATATGTGAGTTAGGAAGAGAGTTATTTTAACCACTTGGAAAAGTTTATAGGATTCCTGAAACCTGTGTGCTTCCACCCCTCTTTGCTATTTTTATTGCCATCTGCCTACTCTCCTGTAATGATTAGCCAAACGCTCTTAAAATGGAAAGGATCTGTGTGCATATTTTGGGTGGCAACAAAGAAAACAGCAGTGAGGTGACTGTTCCTGCCAAGTGGGTGAGGATCCCAAGAGTGGACATTGGGCTGTAGCATCCTGCAGGCCGTGTCTCGGGAGTCTGTGGAAAGAGGGGGGGAAAATACTATGGAGTGGCAGAGTGGACCTGGGGGTAAGGGGCTTACAGGGAGTGAATCCAGGACAGAGAAATTACCCTGCGTCCTTACTTAGCAAGAGACCCAGGGACAGGTTTCCGGAATGTAGCCAGATTAAAATTAATACTTCTAACAGCCAAGACATTTTTTGAATGTTTTCTAATTTAAAACAAATCCAATAGCTCTCTTAAGCAACTTATCTGCAGGTAATTTAATTTGGGTAAGATTCTTGGATCAAGTGAACTGAATAAGGTGGAAATTAATTCCTAAGTCTCAGCTGTCAGAAAGCAGCCAGGATTTGGGAGTTGTTTGACAATACTCCCTATACATTAGTTTTTCCTAGATCTTTTGACTGCAGATATTTCATTTTAAGAGTGGCAATTAAGAATGGGAAAACATTGCCCCCTCCAGTCCCCTCGACCGTGGCTTAGAATCCGCTGAAACGTGTGGGGTAAACATTTTACCCAAATATAAACCTTTTAGAGATTAAGCTAATTTACTCTTTTCAAACTGTGACATCCTGTTTATAAGAAGGAAGATTTATAAAAAGTCATCTTGAGCTTGATCTGACTCTGCATATCAACATTTTGGTGAATTTAAGTGTTAAATGAGTCACAACTATTTGGATGAAGATTTTCTGGTTTTGAAAGAGAAAGTACTCGGAAAAAATGTCATTTTGGTTTTATTGAAATGGAAACATTTGAAAAATAGAATTCGCTAGTGAGCCTATCATGTGACAAGTTTCCACACACATTTCTTAAGTCACTTTTGTGAATCCGTAGAGCTGCATCCCCCAGGGCCAAGTCTTAACCATTGTGAGATGCATTTAGCCTCCATAATCCTTTCCAGAAAAGATGTTTTTTTAAAAACACTGCACAAGGAAAAAAAATTTTCACATTTTGAAGGAACATTATTTACTTTGAAATGTATTCTTAAATGAAGTTAACATTATTTGCCTGACAGAAAAATGGTCTCCTTTTACTCTGGCCCTTTAATACTTGAAAATGTTATTGCAGGCAATTCAAAGTTTAATTTAGGTAAAGGAATGTTACAGTCAAAATTTTATACTTGATTTGAAAAAACTCCTTACTCAAGGATATGTTGCCAATGACTTTTAGAGAAGAAGGGAGAGGGAGAGAGAGAGAAACATTGTTGTGAGAGAAACATTGATTGGTTGCCTCCTGCATGTGCCCCAACCAGGGATGGAACTACAACCTGGGTGTGTGCCCTGACCAGGAATCGAACCCAAGACCCTTTGGTGCATGGGGCAATGCTCCAACCAATGGAGCCACACCAGCCAGGGCATTATATTAGTTTTTTAATGAATAGTGCAGTGATGGCGAACCTTTTGAGCTCGGCGTGTCAGCATTTTGAAAAACCCTAACTTAACTCTGGTGCCGTGTCACATATAGAAATTTTTTGATCTTTGCAACCATAGTAAAACAAAAACTTATATTTTTGATATTTATTTCATATATTTAAATGCCATTTAACAAAGAAAAATCAACCAAAAAAATGAGTTCGCGTGTCACCTCTGATATGTGTGTCATAGGTTCGCCATCACTGGAATAGTGGCTGCTTATTAGCTGTTTTATGATTGGATGGGCCCCTGTTTAAACATCCCAGTCTCTCTGCTATTGATCCTGTAAATTTAAGGATCCTACTGGGTATCTCCACCTGTTTGTACTTCAAGCACATCAAACCCATCATGTCCCAGTTTAGGTTGCTTCTCTCTTCTTTGTCCCTCTTCCTTCCCCCGTGTTTCCTGTTCAGTTGCTGGCACATCTCCCACGTGAGGGCCTCTGGTCATTCTAGAGCCTTCCTTTTACTTATCACACCAACTAACTGGTTGTTAATGCCTGATGATTCTGTCTCCAAAATGCCTCTTTTTCCATTCCAGCCTCAACTCAGGCAGTCATTTCTTAGCTCCTTTAGAACAAAACTTTCTAATGGGCTTCCCCGTCAGCCCTTCCTTTCTGCCACTAGATCTTTCTGTGCATATAGTGAAACATGAATATAGGACTTACCTTTCTGTCCACTTTTACCTACTCCCCATTGGTGTCAGGAGCCAGTCCTTGCAACCTGACACAACTTCCTTTTTCTAGACTCTTCTACCCTTCTACTCCCTGGCACTCATCTATATATATCTATATATATATATATTTAGCTGCTACTAAATATCTTTCAACTATACCACACATTTCCACCTAAACTTTTCTCTGTTTTGATCCTCTTCACTAAGACTCATTTTCTGTCTACTCGCCTTCCTCCTTCCAGAAGTAAAAATCCTTTCTTCTGTGTCCTCTCTTAGCACAATTTTATTCTTTTGCTGTCACTGGATATATCCCATTATGGTTAATTGTCTATGTGAGGCTTTCTCAGGCTAAATTACGAATTTCTTAAGAGAGAGCTTTCTTTCCATCTCTTGTGGAAAAAAAAATCACTGTTCAGTGTTTGGGACTTAATATGCGTCCCATTAAAATGTGCTGAAGGAGGGATGTGTTGAAATGTATTCACATTCTCATAGGTGCAGTTATTGTACCAAATGGATGGAGAAGTAAAGATTAGAATGAAGCAAAAGCGCTCCTTTGTCATTTTTTTTCTTGAGAGCTAGAGATATAAATTTATGACAAACATGGGAATTCCAAAAAGTCAGAGAACAGAGAATGACAGCATTACCTGCAAATTACTGTTTAAATGAGACCTACTAAGGCATTGTCTCTGCCATTTTTTATCAATCTATTGTATTAATGATTTTAAAATAAGAACCACTCTCCAGGTTATCATTGAATTGGCATGTATTGACTGGTTAGTATGAATTGGTTGGTAATAAGGTAATTTTACTCAATTAAATGTATACCAAAGAATTGATGTATATCATCTCTGTCTTCTCCTTGTTAAAACTGAGGTGGAAAGAGACCTTGGAGTAAAGTGCTAGACTTAATTATAAGACACTTTGTAATAAATAAAAAAAGAAACGAGGAATAAGAAAATATTATGATCTGGAGAATTAATGAAATTTAAACTGGTTGTTGAAAAAATAGATAAGGATTGCATGACGGAAAGGAGGAATTTCATGTGAAGGAAATAACATGGGTCAATTGACAAGAAAATTGCTGATTTGCAAGCCATATTTTAGCAAATGTCTATATTGTTAACATTTATGAATTTAGTTATTTTGTTTTCGTTCTCACAGGTGGATCCGATATTGAATACCTAGACTTCTACAAGCCTGTCGTGTGGTTTTGGATCCTCGTAGGACTTGCTTACTTTGCTGCTGTCCTGAGCATGATTGGAGACTGGCTCCGAGTGATTTCGAAAAAGACAAAGGAAGAGGTAAGAATTAAGAAGTTTTCAAAAAACTTCTACTTAGCTAATTTAATAAACGGTAACAATTCTTTTACATTTATATTTTAAAGCAGTATTTAAATATTATTTAATTTTTAAACATTTATGTTTGGTATGAGTTTGTTTTACACAGCTATCATGTGAGTTACAATTCATTCACTTACCAAATACTAAACACTCCTATGGTCCTGATGCTATCTGGGTGCTTAGGGTAATTTGTGCTAAAAAGGATGTAATTAAAGTGTTTTTTTCATTAGTTCTTTTTTTGGTTTGTTTCATTTTTTTCTCTCAAAATATGTATAATAGAAAATTATAAGAGAAAAGTATAATAGAAAATATTTTTGTCAAGGTATCAGTAGCATGAAAAAGTGAATGTACTGTGGAATATTGAATTTAGTCAAGTATTTCCTTTTTTATGTCTACATAAATGTGTGGTAGTCCAGATGTATACAAACACATACATCCCCAAAGTTGTATGTGTTATGGCCAATTTCCTTACATACTAATTTTAGCTGCTCAAAAACATACACTTTTACATATTTTGAACAATTATATATATAGAAATAAATATCAGAATTTTGACTCATGACATTTTAGAAAATTTAAAATTTAAATCTGATTTTGAAATTACATTTTGATTTAATATTTTTAGGTCCAGAAGTCCTGTTAGTTTGAATGTGATAGAATAGTATGAATTTTGTGTTTTTTTGTTCTGGTTGTTAGCCAGTTTTACTAATTTTTTTCAGAGAACAAGTCTATAAAATGTGCACCCACTGTTTTTCTTTAATTATCCCCTTCAATTCATTATCTGCTGTTCATAAGCCAAGAGACATCAGTGTCAAAATCTTTGATTGATACAAGCAATGATCTTTAAACACACACCCAAAAGAAACAGAATAAAATAGGATATGATAGAATTCATCTCTACAGACAAAACAATTTTATTTAGAAATCCTCAAGTCATATGATTTCTTATAAATACTGAAGGTACCCATGGTGATTAGAAAGAGTATAAGTTATCCACTAGTTCCCTTCATGGATGCTATATTTCTCAGTTGGGCATTCACGTGTTCAGTCTGTATGCATTCATCATCTTAGTTGCACCATAAAACCAGTCTTTTTATTAGGAACAAATCAGCAAGACAATATTTGCTTGACGTTCTACTTTAAATCATGTGAAAAGTTTTACTTACAGTGGTCGGCAAACTGCGGCTCGCGAGCCACATGTGGCTCTTTCGTCCCTTGAGTGTGGCTCTTCCTAAGCCTTAGGAGTACCCTAATTAAGTTAATAACAATGTAACTACCTATATAGTTAAAGTTTAAAAAAATTGGCTCTCAAAAGAAATTTCAATCGTTGTACTGTTGATATTTGGCTCTGTTGACTAATGAGTTTGCCGACCACTGGGCTAGGGCATCAACTTATTTGGCTTAGCCTTAGACAAGCTCATTCTGTGTGTGTGTGTGTGTGTGTGAGAGAGAGTGTTTCAATACCAGCTGAGATGACCCAGGACTCACAATGTCAGTGCCACCCTGGCAGGTAGGCTGGCTGGAGTTGGGACAAGCACAGCATATTATATATAAATACACATTTCTACATATTATATACATATGTACATACTAATAATATTGTGGATCACAGTTTGAAAGCCACTAAGGCACATATAGAACAGGGCTAAATTTTATCTGCATCACATTGCCCTGTTTAATTAAACATTCAGGAATATTTGATTAATGTTTTAAAAGCTGTTAAAAACCAGTGCTTTGGGGGTAGGACAGAGCTTCTTCAGAGTAATGAGATAGCCATCTGTACTGGTGCTCCAGCTGCCATTGCAAAACACCGCAGACTGGGTGGCTGAACTGTCAGAAACGGGTTTTCTCACAATTCAGGAGGCTGGAGGTGCCAGCAGGTTTGGTGCCTGGGAGGTCTCTCTCCTCAGCTTGCAGATGGTGCCTTCTTGCTGTGTCCTCATGCGGCCTTTCCTCTGTGCACATGCGTGGGGAGAGAGTGCACGGGTGGCTTTCTTCTTCTTATAAGGACACCAGGACTGTTGGATTGGAGCTCCACACTATGACCTCATTTAACCTTAACCATGTCCTTTAAGGCCTTATCTCCAAATACAGTCCCATGGGAGCATTGGGCTTCAACATCTGAATTTGTGGAGAATGCAATTCAGGCCATAATAGCATTCTTTGAAATAAACTTAAATTTCTACATAAGTTGGTTTATTTCACATGAAAAACAAGTTTGTGTGCCTACTTATGAGTGATCTTCATGATTCGCAACCAAAAGTGTGAGATGTATCATTGTGTTTTCATGCTGTTAAACACTGAAAAGTAGTAGTGTTTTTTCCTTTTGGCTTCTACCTCGCCTTGTGAGTAACATCCTTTCTGGTGGCTGCATCTGTAGGAAGTTCATGGGAGTGAAGGCCATGAACAAGTTCATGTGAACACTCTGGAGCTGCAGCTGCACCAGACAGTTGAGCCAGTTGAAGTGAGACGGTCAATTCAAGCAGATGTGTGTTTTCTAATGTAAAATGCTGTTTAGGGAAGTGACAAAATCAGGTCACAAATTTAACAGAAAATGTAAAGAAAGGGAGGGAATGACAATTCATAATTTATCTATACATCATCAGGACCAAAGTTTCATAAATGAAATACTACTAGAATTTCTACAACTCTTGAAATAAGATTATTAGATCATTTTCATTTTGAAATAACTCACTAAAGGGCATAATTAAATAAAAACCAACTAAATGCATCCTAGTTGTCATCTTTACATAGATGAACCATGCTACATGACCGTTCGGTCTGTATTTCTTACCTTCTAACCTAAATCGTTCCAGATACCCCAATTTTTAAATACTCCCTACATGTTTAGAAGCAACAAGGTTATTTCTAGTTTTTAATTTTTTTTTCAAATATATTTTATTGATTTTTTACAGAGAGGAAGGGAGAGAAATAGAGAGTTAGAAACATCGATGAGAGAGAAACATCAATGAGCTGCCTCCTGCACATCTCCTACTGGGGATGTGCCCGCAACCCAGGTACATGCCCCCGACCGGAATCGAACCTGGGACCTTTCAGTCTGCAAGCCGACGCTCCATCCACTGAGCCAAACCGGTTTCGGCTCTAGTTTTTAATTTTGATGAATGAAAATGCCAGATCATTTTGATAACTTGGAATCCTCCCTATTAAAAAATGTAACTATTACAAAACATAAGAAAATACAAAGTAATATATACTAGTAGCATTAAATCTCCAATTGAAAAATGCTAAGACACATGCTTTCCTTGAATGAAAAGATTTTGACAAATAATAAATCCCAGTCTTACATAATTTAAAAAAAAAAAAACACCCACAAATAATCTTGTAACATAATCTGGTTAGGTTATAGTTTAAAAACAAATATGATATATTGCTTAAGTATAAACATAGCACCAATCATATGTGCTCTTAATTCTGTTTTTATGTTAAAATACATTGTTCCCAATGAAGACTAATTTTAATGAAAATATTATGTTTAGAAGTAAGGAGAAATAGCTTCTGATGAACATGCTGAAATAAAACATGTTGGTGTGGCTGACCCCTCTGACATAGTTGGAGAGGAGATAATCAGTTAGAACGATACTGCAAGGCTTTAGAAGTGTCACATATAATTACAATTGATGTGCATTCCTCAAGGAAAATAGTAATGACCTCAATATTTTTTTCCATGGAGACAAACGACTTTCTATAAAGTGTTTGTTTCATTATTTTTAAATCTCTAATGGAAAGTAGGTCCATGTGTAACAATAAGAATTGATATGACTACCTTTTTCTAGAACTGTGTACCCTCTTTTGAGGAACTGATGTTTCCATTTAGAAAATAAAGATTATTTAGGTATTCTGGATAATACAGTGATACTAATATCTGACGCAGGAGAAATAAAAGTAAGACGTGGTCACAAAATTCAGAAGGTAAATTCCTAAGCAAGCAGGGAATAGGCATCCTTATTATGCATAAATATAGTTCATTTTGCGACCATTTACATTCCTCACGTGGGAAAGGCCTGGATTTTTGTACAGTTCTTGTATTGATGTACATATACCACAGTGTTTGCCATGTTCCTGTCCATTTGTGAGACAGACACACCACAGCCCCTATCACAACATGCTGGTGTCCTGGCCCTACAGCTGGCCATAGGGGTCGATAGCCAAGCATTGCTGCTTTTTTTGATTTCAGAGAGGAAGGGAGAAGGAGAGAGAGAAATGTCAATGATGAGAGAGAATCATTGATCGGCTGCCTCCTGCACAACCACACTGAGGATTGAGCCCGCAACTGGGCATGTGTCCTAACTGGGAATTGAACCATGGTTCATAGGTTGACACTCAACCACTGAGCCACGCCAGCTGAGCCAAGCATCAGTTGTTAACCAGTTGTCTGGAGGTGTCCATGCACATGGGGACGCTCACTTTAGGACGTTGACCTTATCTCAGTCATATCAGGAAACCTCCCTTTGCTTGTGAAGCACTAGCCAAGAAGCCTGAAGAACTGATATTTGGCCCCTGCACTATGAAGGAGCCTGAGAATATGGAGGGATATAGTTTTCTTCCGCTGGTTACCTGGCCAGAGAGCATTTGGTCTTCTCTGAAAGTCACTCCCTCCAGTGACGAAGCTAGGAGTTGGTGGCTATCGTGTCTGGAGATGGAAAAATGGTAAAATAGGTACTATTCCCTCA